ACTGCAGGTTGGAGGTTCTCAAAGAGAGTTCAAAGTATCTCCATAATTCAGAAAAACAGAAAAAAATATTCAAAAAAACAAACCAAAAACTAAATTACTCAGAAAAAAGAAAGAAAAATTTTATTCAAGTGAATGCAATACGCTTCCGTACTTATGGAAGCTAATTTCCACCAATGTAACAGAAATGAACGATTCTGTAACCTGAAACTTTCTCAAAATATTGACTTCATTATTTTGAGATACTAAGTCAATACTGTGAGAAAGTTTCTCATTATAATGACACACAGAATCCCTTTTTTGGCAGTAATGGGCTTCCATACTTTGTATATATATTATACTTAAAGCTTGTCCTGTTGAATGTGTTATTATATCCTTTGTCTTTATGAAGCCTTAATGTTCTATATTTTTGTCCAATATCAGTTAAAGGTGACAATAAAGTTTTTTTTAAAGGAAAATTACCTAAACATATTGATGCTTTTTCTTTAAATGTTTTATTTGATTGTATTCTAGCCCTTACTTTACTTATAAAACATGTAATCAATCAGTGTATAAAATATGATGTTAATACATGAAACTACTACCAGGATAATGTTGAAAATTTTTTCTGTATTTTGACTCTGTAAGTCTATCCAACAGAATTTTATTATTACTGTACTGTAATCCGATTGGCTGTTACATGTGAATGAAGGGAGGGAACAATCAATATTTATATAATAATGTCATGAAAATGAAACTACAACACCTGAGCGTCAACAGTGGCAACACGAGACAAACATGGCCAGCAAACTTCTGCATCCTCGTAAGTATATTTACAGTAATACTCTAAATGTGGCTATGAGATAAGTCAACTTTTAATAAAAAAAATACTTTTACCTCAGAGTGGAGAATTTATTGATTGTCAATGCTGAGCTGATCTTAACTGTTACATTTGCATTCATAGTATCATTATTTATTGTAAAGCTTCAGTTGTGTTTTCATGTATTTTTGATGCTGTTTTCTAAAAAATGCTAAACTTAATCAACATTTGTAAACAGATGTTTACATATACGTGACAGAAATTAGTGATCTGTCTTGATGGACTCTCCTCAGAGAGGAATCTAATCCAGCTAGTCTCTGACAGGTGTGGTACTTTCTGTCTCTTGTACGTTGGACGCCAAATGTTTGTGTATAATAGCTGTTAATTAATCTAAAACCGGGGTTCCACAACTTTTTCATGCCAAGATGCCCAAATAGCATGAGGTTATGGTCGGGTCCCCCTTCTGAAAGATCAGAAACACACAGACAGTCCTTACTTTTATTAATGCAATAATTATTACAGTTCTGTTTCAAATCTTTAATCATTACATTAGATTGAACATGACATGTTTTAAATTTCAGGAACAACAGCTTTGTCTCAAATGTTACCAGGTCGACACTGACAGTTTACTTTTTTTTAGCATTATCCCTCAAATTATTCGTGTTTCATGGTAAAGAGAAGTAACAACAGCCTCATTACAATATTTCAACAGAATATCAGCAGTGCAAAGACCAAGAGCTCCAGATTGTGATAGTTGGGAATACTGGAGTCGGTAAGAGTACGACAGGAAACACCATCCTGATGAGAACGGTTTTTCAGACTCCGATACATCTTTCCTCAGTGACACAGGCCTGCAAGAAGGAAAAAGGAGAGTTTGATGGACAGAAGCTGGCTGTTGTTGATACTCCTGGTCTGTTTGGAGGAACAAAATCTGACGTCCAGGTGATGGAGGAGATCAAGAAGGCCGTGTTGTCTGCTTTAGATGGCCCCGTTGCGTTCCTGGTTGTGCTCCAGTTGGGCAGACTGACGGAGGACGAACAGAAAACAGTGAAATTATTACAGAAGACTTTCGGCAGAGAGGCAGCACATCACACCATGGCCTTGTTCACTCGAGGAGATGATCTGAAGGAACAAGGAGGTTCCATAGAGGACTTCATCGGAGCAAACCCAGCTCTGCGTGACTTCGTCAGGGAATGTCGGGGGGGATACCATGTTTTTGAGAACATAGACGGAGATCCCTCTCAAGTTGTTGAGCTGCTGCAGAAGATCAACAGCATGGTGCGGAGAAATGGAGAAAGCTACAATAAAATGGACAGAAATGCTGAGGGAGTCCTCTGGAAAGAAAATCTAGAAACATCAGCAACAGAAGAAGCAGAAAAACCTGCATTGATTGATTCCTGCCTTCATGGTGCTTTCAATGGAGCGTACACTTTTGGTGCGCTATGTTTTGTCGCTAACTTAAAATCACAACCAGTGGAAGCTGTAGTGGTGGGCGGCATAATTGGGGGTGTGGTTGGTGCAGCTGTTGGTGCAGCACAGTATGTGGGTAGTAAGCTAATCACAGAGTGAACACAACACATGAACTGTGGTGAGAACCAGTTTATAAACTCACTCAGGGGGCGCAGCACAAAACTCTGGACCCAGTATCCTTGTGGTCCCTCGTCTTACTGTTCTTCAACCAAATGAGGTCTGGTTCGGGAACCGGTTCTGTTCAAGATCCTTGGAACTATTATAATGAAAGATATTAATGCACAACAACCTGTAGAATACGACACGCCCACTTTGGTTCCTGTAAGTATCCTGATTTATTTTTGGTCAAAACTATTAAATCCCTAGCTGCAGGTTGAGGCCACTGTTTACACACTGTTACAGTAGTTGTTGTTACTGCTGTGGACGGCCCTTTAAAGTCCCTCTTGTAATGTTTGACCTTCAGTCAGATATGAACTTTGTACAGTTTGTCTCCACTAGAAAAACACATTATTCCCTCTATACCACATCGTCTTATCTTTATATATGTATATCTATATATATCTGATATGTTCTTTTGCTGTTTTTTTGGTGCTAATTTTAAATCACAGTATACGCCTGTCCTATTAAATGTGCAGTATAAATAAACTTGAATTAATAATTGTGACTCATTTATTTAATGTTTTGTGAATTATATTGACTCAGACTGGAGGTGGAGTGTTTGTGATTGCAGAAGAAATATGTGAGTAAAACAAGAATAATTAATAAGTCAATATTTAAAAAGGTAATCTACCGTTGGCATCATCCTATTTATTTGTAACACTCTAAACTATAATAATATATACATATATGACAGCGTCAGTACTTTAGGTTGATCCACCCACACCTAACTTTGAAGTACTTGCAATTTACCTTTTAGTCCCCTACATTCATGTGACAGCTGTAGTTATTTCCTTTGAAGTGTTAATACATTAAACAACAGGATAGTGAGCTCAACCTCCACCAGTTACAATGATAACATCTTGTTATTGCACCAGTAATAATCACATATTATGTATAATCATATATTTCAAGGACATTAGATGATAATTCAGTACTTTTACTGAATATTTCTATAGGATGGCATCACTCCATTGTTCTTTAAAACCCCCATATTTTTATACTGACTACTTTAACTTCTCAGGTAACAGGTGATGTTGGATTCAGGGGAGGTAACAACCAGTAGGAATATACAGTAATAATGTCAAGGAAACTAAACTATAACTAAAACCTGATGAGTAAACTCAAATTGTTTAAAATTTAATTGTACCAATGAAGTTACATTCATATGCAGCATTTCTCGGGTCAGGGTCGGCAGTATATCCTTAGCTCAGATCGGCACATTTCTTGTTAGTTTGGTTCTTTCATATCGACTCCTCGGTTTGGACGAACAAGTAAAATTCAATCACAGATAAAAATCATTGATATAAAGTCTGTAAAGTTCCAAAAGCTCCTTTCATCCGACGAGGGACATGAAATTTAAATTCATTTTTCCTCCATTTTCTGCCATCCATTCCTCAGTTTTAAGGGCATTTCCACACATGCAGTAACAGATGTTTGACCACTGTGGGGCAACAAAAACAAGCTGTAAACTGACATATTATAACCTCTGCAGCAGCTCAGTCTGTATGGATACAGAGGAACCAGCATGGACCACAGTGTGGAGGATGGACTGCTGCCCAAACCCAACAGGATCTGCCAAAAGGTCGGGCTCGGACAGAATGAGATTTNNATGCAACTAATTAATTAGTGAATCTGTTATTTATTAGTTTTGATAATAATTTGCACTAAACACTGTAATAAACTACTGAAATTATTTATTCTAGGCGGAAATTCAAGTTTTCTTTCAGGGTCGGGTCTGACTTTTGGGGCCAGATCAAAGCTTTAGTGCCAGTTCAACCTCCAGACACTGCCGCGGTTACCCTTCAGCAAGCAAGGCAGCACATCACTTCACATGTGCATGTCAGCCCTGTGTGTGTGTGTGTTTTTGTATTTTGAGTGTAAAACTTTATTCATTCAAGTTCAACTGTATAAATATGTAGTGTTTGTGTTTGTCTTTAATTTTGAACCAAAACAACTGAACCAATATGAATGTGCTGCTTTTCAGAAATAAAGCTGAGAGAAAAAGTATTTTAATTTCATTCAAAAGACAAAGAGAGAAATTATTCAGTACTTTCAGATTTACATGAATGTTGTATTTCATGAGCTCGGCAAGATTGACATTTATCTTTCCGACCAAATAATGATCAGTGTAAAGTGCAGCTTGTGAACTTTCAGAGCAAATACGTTCACATTAAGTGCTGTGTCACATCAACTACTTAATGACACT